AGAACATTATTATCCTCCAACCAGGCACAATAAAAACCTTTGTTAACACTCAGGCTAAAAGCAGTTTTGATGCCAGAGGGCCCTAATTCCAAAATTAAGTAGCTGTACTGTAATACATCCTACTAGTGAAGGTTCATTACACAAAGACTGTGCATGCACCGTCTTTTTAATTAAAATGTAACCTTCAGGATTTATGGCCTCCAGTATGGGGAAAAATGCCAAAAGTTTTAAAATGGATCAACCCTGGTATGTAGCTAGCAAGCAATAACTGACTACTTGTCACCTACAGTTGTACTAAATGTATCTAAAGAAACACACAGCCCTACAAAAGTTGTTCTCAGAGAAATATCATTGAGATGGGGTGCCTCTTCCCAGCTTACTAAAAGTTCTATATGATATAAGCACAAATTAACAGCTTAATGAAGACATCTAATGCAGCTCTTGAGAAGCCTATGCCTGGGATTAAGGAACCCCTCACATTCTACAATGTTGTAGAGATTATTTTTGAAGAAAATGTTATCTGAAACATATTTACAGCTGAACTCAACAGAGACTGTGAAATTGAACAGGCACTGCTCATTTGTTTGAGTTTTTTGGTAAACATTTTGCTGGTTTTTGTTTCTTTCTCATTTTGCATCAACTTCTATCAGTCCATGCAACTTCAATGCCCTCAATGAAGAATGCATAATAAGCCATACTTCTTAAAAAACTTCCTTCTGCATATAGAGATACATTTGCCACATCAGTCCCTGTAGCACAGTTTTCAAAACGATTCTGTCAAAAATACAGTAATACAAAGACTGGCTTTAGTGTCACTAGCTCACACTGCTCTCCATTTATTTAGGCCACCTTTTGTTTTACTGTTACCGTATCATGCAATGAAAGTATCAAAGGCTTATTCTAGTATATCATGATGCTAGTGGCACTGAAGCCCTTTTTACAAATTCAACATACATCTGAATTGCAACACACAGATATTTCTAAAGAGTACTAACTAGTGAACCCTTTTATCATAAAAAACAAACAAACAAACAAACAAACAAACAACTACTTACAACCATTGAAGAAAAAATTGCAACAAAAAAATGTAAAAATTGACCGTCTCCAACTTGTCCCCTTTACTACTGACAACGTGACCAACAGAGCTGTGGCATGGAAACAGTACAAAGAGTTGTCATGGCAATAAGTTTGGCTGATGCAAAGGTCACTGTGCAGGGTTAAAGGGCAAAATAAGTGGTCCATGTTATCCTCCAACTGCAGTGCTCCACCACACCCACATAATTCTGAAAAATTAGAAAAACTGGGGAACTAGCAGAAAGTGCAAATAAGAAGGAGGCAGTTTTCAGCTCCTTCAGCATGGAGTAGAACATTCAGCTTTGAGCTTTTCCTGTTTAACTTTATTAGCTGGCATATGATTTTACTCTCTCTTTTTTTTTTTTCTTAAGCTTTCTATAGAAACCCAATAAAAAAAATCCAGGAGCATGCAGCTGGTTAATGTTAACAAAAGACCTTGACAGGATCATGTAAACCATAGAGGATGTCATGCTTGGGGCCTTACTGCCAGCAACATTAGAGAGTTTTTTTATTGAAAGTGAAAACTGTACACTGAATATGGGATAACTTTCTGCAGCCTTCATAATCTCACACAGTACACATAATTTAAATTTAGGTACAGAACACACTCCGGTGTCACAGATGTCCTTGTGCAATCTCTTTCATTAAGTCCTTATGAAGCTACAAGTTGCAAATCCAAAATTCTGCTCCCTGAGGACACAGCTGTGTGAGACTTAAGTACTGTTTTAGTTTTCTGCCTATCCTGAATTGCTCTGTGAACCTAATCTTAAATACCATCATGTAACAATCACAAAAACTTTTGCTAAAGGCCATATATACTAATAAAAAGACAGTGGTGCTTCCAACATTTTGAAATGCTCTGAAAACCAACTTTTCCAATACTAAATACAACAAAATAACCTTCATAAAATATAACTTTTCTCCATTTACATTTTTAAAGGATTAGTAACCCACGCTTTTCAAGCACAGGAATCTGCGAAATAACTCCTAACATGGACAGATTTTTTTTTTAATACATAAATTAAGAAACTGGAGAGTTTTAACCCAAGTCCAGTTTCCAAACAAAGAATATTTTTGTTTAAAAATGGAAACACATTTCCATTATAATTGTTAAAAAGTTAGCTTTACAAACAAGGGTATTTTAATTAAAAAAAAAATCCTTAACAAAACTATACAGTGTACAAATTACTGTCTACAAGGTAGGCGGTTCATTCAGAAGATCCTCCTTTCTTCTTGCTACTTGCAGCTTCACAAGCTCATTCACATATTTTCAATGGAGCTGCCCACCTGAACATCACCCCACAACTATATTGCTATAATTAATATTTTTGCCATGTCTTTATGTACAGTCTCCTTCACTGCCTTTTTTTTTTCCTTAGTCAAGCCTCAAGCGTTCATGTCACTCCAGGGGAAACACACTTCAGTGGCACAGCCATGAGGCCAGGGCTGCAAAGCAACTTAATAAAGGCAGAACAGTGCACATAGAACGGGGTGGCTCAATTTAGTCAGAATACACTTCCTGGTGAAGGAGGAGGCCAGAGACTGGATTTGAGTTCTCAATCATCTTAATCTTTTGACTGCTGAGCTCAAAAAAAAACCAAAACAAAATAACCAACAAAACCAACCTACAATAAATGAAAAGTTCATTATCTTCCAAACAGGCTTTTCTATTAGAGAGGCAGGTGTCAAAAACCCACAGTTGCTGAACAACCTCATTTATTCACATGGAAGGAAAGAGTTTACTTTTTAAAAAATTGCATCTGTAAGCTCAGCTTTTTTTGCATATAGGTGGTCAGAGATTAAAAAAAGGCTCTGTTAAGGACATCCATCTTCCTACAAGGGCAATCATCGTTTTGGCTATTGCGTGTTGAAGCCTGAATTTGTTCCAATTTTCTCCCAATGTGCTACTGAAAGCATATGGGGAACACCTTTCTAATGGTAATAATCAAGAATGTCGCCCTAGCACACCTTTCTGCTTCCAAACTGTTCTGCATCAGTGACATGTGTAAAGGACAACACATAATTTACTTCACCAGGCCAGAGCCTATGATGCACTCCGGTTGGGTCTAGCATATTTTGTCATATGTTTAGCAAACAATTGATCTACCATGGGGCTCAGAAAAAGAACAACACAATTTTACCTTTTTTTTCTTTTCTTTTTTTTTTTTTTTTTTTTTTTTTGTGTCTTGTATTTTTCTTCAGTTTAGCTAAATCTCAAATATTTATTTCTTTACAAATCCTGTCTCTTTAGCCATTCAGGCCCTGCCTACATGTCTCCTCCTGGAGACATGGGGTTGTGCCACCACCATGGCTCTTAAGCAACATGGACTGGCTGAAGCCAGAAGCGACTAATGGTGGTGTGCCCCTGACCAGTACTCACAGGGGTGGCTGAAGCTGGAGCTGCACCTCTGGGACTGCTCCAGAGTAAGAAAACCTCCAAAAGGCAGAGACAACTGCAAAGGATGGATTTTCCTACCAGGGTATCTTATATCCACATCTATACTCTCCTCTGCTTGCACCCTAATAAAAAGATGTGCTTTAAAGAAAAATTCACCCTGTGTTAAGCCACACATTGCAAAGATCCCTGGTGTATAAGAGGTCTCCAGCAACAGGCCCATTACTGATCTACCAAATGCGATCTTACTGGAAAAAGACCTTCATTTCCATCATAGTCTAATTCCTTGCATGAATTCCTTCTCCACTACAGCCTAGAACTCTCCATGTGATCTGCCGTATGAGAAGACTTTGCAAACCTCTGATGTAGCCCAAGCTGGCTGAAAGTTGTAATTCAGATGCTGTGAATTAAAAAACTTGGTGGAAGGACAGGGATGAAAATAATAATGTGAAGTAAAAAAAAAAAAAAAAAATGTTACCAGTCAAGCAGTCTAAGGGAGGCAAATTCTCTGCATAAACAACTCCAGAGTCAACTGGAGTCACTGGAACTATGCCGGCAAAGATTTTGGCCCTGTATTTGCATTTCCTAGACAAAGCAAGTGTCTTTGTCATTCTGAGCTAAAAGCATTTTCTAACATGCACTCTTTTGGGTGCAGTATCTGCCAGAATGGAACATGCTTCACCTCACTGTGGGTCTTGACCTATTTCTCTGTCTGTCTCTCTTTCTCAAGAAAAAAACCCTTGAAGTAAAACAATTTCCTCAAGTCAAGTCTGCCTCCAACAGAATTCATTATTTAATTTTTAAATCCAGAAATGATTTCAGCTTGCACCCCAGGTGTGAAGTTAAAAAGAGGGAACCGATTTGAAAGTTTGTCACAGTAGGCAGAACAGTTGCTTTGCAGCCCTTGCCTGGCTAAGGGTGCACTGCTTCACAGCTACACTGTAAAGTGTTAAAAATCCTCCCCACCCACCCCAGAATATATATATATATGTATGTATAAAAAAAAATCCCCTGTCCACCTCTCAGTACAGAAAAGGACCTCATCACACTGCAAAAATAGCAGTACCCACTTTGGTCAATTAAAACAAACAAAAAAAGCATACAGTATTCCTTTTTTTTTTTTTTTTTAAATCTGTGTACTTACCTATAATAACCAATACAGCTAAAAGCACTACCTACATAGGCAAAACTTGGTATTGCATAATTCGTATAAATTTGTATCCCCTCCCCCCAATATTAATTGGAAGATGAAAAACATGAAAGGTTAATAGAAAAAACACCAAAATACTGAAAATATTGCTGGTCGATTACAATTCTTAAGCGGCAACTATACACAGCCATGATATGCTTTATAAATGTGAGATAAAGGTATAACTGTCTAAAAAATCCATGATGTCACACATTTTTCGCATCTGGAATACAAAATATTTTGTCATAAAAATGGTAAAGATTTAAAATCATAATAAATGCAGCAAAACAAGTGTAGTGATGTCAATTTTTTTGTAGTTTTTTCTTTTTTTGTTTTTTTCCATTTTTTAGATTTCAAGGCAAGGCACGTAATGTGGACATTATATCTTCGTGCAAATTAGGATAACTGGAAAGAGTATTTTAAATTTTTAAAGAGACATAGAGGCAAAATGTCTGCCCATGCACATTATATTTCTGTCAATATGTGAAAATTGTTGAACAAGGCTAACTTCTGAAAGCACCATGCAAGTTTACAGCACCCTGTAATTAGACTTACATTAAGAGTGCATTATTTAAATACAACATATCCCCATCCTGGTATTACCAGTTTGTAAACGGTAAGCTTTGCCCTTGTGACATGGATTTGCCTATGTCTTTGTCTCTATGATGTAGATTTTACTGAAAGATGTAAACCCTATGGGTTCTTGATGCAACAAGTAACTTTAAATAAATAAATCCTACCCCTCTGTGGAGGCAGCAGCTAAACCAACATAAGTGCTGTGTTTCCATTGATTTCTTTTTCTCAAGAACATGATTTGTCTTGATTTAATGCCTTTTAATGCCCTCAAAAATTGAGGGGAAAAGTAAGTTTGTTCAAAGTAATTTTTATTTCTATTTTTAATCCCCTCAATTTAGAGTCCAAGGGCTGAAGGACTTATAGTGATGACCCCTTAGATACGATTTTTAAATTGCACTTGCCTCTGTAAGTGTTTCTTTAGTGGGGAAAATGTCACTTTTTTCAGTTTCTTTTTTTGTTTTTACTGTTGCATGAGAAGATAACACTTTTTACCTATGTAGAGGCATTTCTTTCATAGAGCCTGTGTGTTCATACTGATTGAAAACTTCAAACTGCATAACACACTATAAAAGGCTGAATTAAGGGCCAAAGTTTAATAAATCCATACTGATAACTAAAGGCTACAGAGCTTATTTTTAAAACATTTAGAAATCAGAGTGTTGAGAAAATGGCTGGCTCACAGCCCTTGTCCTCCTGCAGCTCTGCTGCTGCTGCCTAGCCTTTGTTTTGTGAGATAACCAGGAATAGTGATCTCATGCGTAAACAACAAGAATACTAAACCAATAGAACTAGCTTATCATGCAAATATTAAGGCATCTAGAAAGTCAGTTAAAATATATTGTCGGAGACAGAACATCTATTTCCCAGCGGACTTCATATAACAAAGGCTACTTAGCAGAAGCTGCATTCTACCCATCAGTGAAATATCATCGACCCTTTGTATCTCATTTCAGTTTCAACCATAAGGGAATTAGTGATTGTAAGAGCTGCATTTGCTGGTCTACTTTTTCTTCTTTCTTCAGTTTCTTTTCTCATCCTGTCTTCTTCTCTTTTTTCTTTTTTTTTTTTTTTTTTAATTTTGCTTTTAATTGTAATAAATTTTTTTCCCTCAGTTGCTTGTTTCTGCTTGAAGGAAAGGCTCTCCAATTATGTTCAAACCATAATTTGGGACATTTGTCGGCAGGATCGGTGTCCTATTTGATACTTGAAAAGGAACCAAGCTAGCCCAGGTACCAGGACTGTTGAAAGGGGAAAGAGACAAGGAGAGAGAGAAAGAGAGAGAAAAAAACAAAACATAAAATTAATTTGACTCAGAGTTAAGCCAATATTCATTATTACTACAGAAAATATATTCATTATATCAACTACTATAATGAAAAATATTCATTATAGCACTACTTAAAATAAAATTGGAAACCAAATTGTGAGCATTACTTGAGATTTTACTTCCCAGTTTTCTTTGTTAAAGTTTGAGTTATTTGAAAGAAAAATAACTTTGTTGAACTCAGTTGCAAGTTGTAACACTCCTATGTTACATTAGGTGGCCTGTCTATGAAAGCCCCCCAAAAATTTCAGACATAAATATATAGAGCAGACACAAGTAAACCATATAAGTGACAATATATAGCACAAGAAATGTTATTTAAGAGTTAGTGAAATACACTACAGTGTACAGGTTTTTCTCTTTTCAAGAATGCTGTATTAAGATTCAGTTGTTCAGCTTCCTGTGCAAACCTTACCCTCTTACAACCCAGCAGTTTATCCCAAGTTGGGCCTCTCAGGTGTGCAGATCACCAAGAGAACAGAAGACTTTTAATATTCAAAAAAACAGAAAGAGATTTTTCCCTAAAAGTGTCAGAGTCTAAGGAACACCAGCTAACGCAGGACCCAGTCACGTAAACACTTGCAGCCAAGGCTAGCCATCAGTCAAGGGTAGCAGTGAGTACCATAACTTTTTCAACAAACCTCTGAGAAATAAAATATTTTCAAAGACAATTCAATGACTAAAGGAACTTAAGCCATCATTTCAAAAGCACTCTGACACTAAGGAGCTGAAGTCCCAATGGCACTGACAAGTTCAACAGGCACCAAGCAGAACAGGTACTGTCCCCAACACTATTTGCAAGATGCATACTCAGAGACAGGCCTCAGCTGCTGCTAATCAGTACCCAGCACAGACCCTGAGCAGCCTGTTCCTTAGATGTGATTCTGGCAAATCAGAAATCCAACCCAAATAATCCTACGCTATATGGTTCTATGACTTTAAAGAAAGTCTTGTCACATTTAATCAGAAATAAAACAGCATCTTTATGTCAGTAATCATTGCCAAAGAACTAACACCAAAACTGGGCACAGAGCATGCAAACACATCCTTCCTCTGCATTCCACTTATCAAGTTTTTCTCCTCACTAGGTCTTTCCACAAACGTAACTGCTTACTTGGAAATACATTCTGGGATTAGACTGATGAGTTTCATGATAACACATCTGAAGACTAAACTCTCTGACGGTGTTTTGCGGAGGATGCATGCTGGAAGTTTTCTTTCCTCTCTTCTTTGGTCCCCTTTTTGGACTGCTCTCTCCTGGATAAGCAGATGCACTTTCGTGGCAGTGGTGTAAAGAGTAAAACACACTCTTATTATCTATTTTAAATGTGTACAAAATAATACATTTTACCTGACAGACTTCTGTGGTCTTTTCAGTTGCTGCTGTATGAATATTAAAGAATGCAGTCAACTTATTTTGTGAAATCCAGGGGACATATTCCTCAGGTCTTTCATATTAAAAATAATACAAACAGCTTCTGTCATGTACTCCTATTTCATACTATTTACCTCTCCAAATCTGTTAATTTACTATTTTGACTCCTAACAATTAATTTCAGGTGTCCTGTTTTAGACACACAAAAAAGTGGAATTCCTGACCTGCTTATCTCAATGATGGTCAAATTTTGAAGGGAACAGCACCAATTTTATTTCATCAAGGAAATAAAATAAATATGAATATCTTATTTTTTTCAATGTCTCAAGTACAAATATTATTCAATAGGATGTTTTGTTTTATTTTGTTTTTCAGTTGGTATATTCTTGAAGGACACCCGAAAATCTTCATAATTTTAAACTCTTCAGAAATTAAAAAAAAAAATCTGCTGTTTTCAAAATCTAAGATCAGCTAATACATTTCACTAAAATTTTTCTTTTTTTTTTTGTTTCAAGTCTATTGACTATTAAAAAAAGTCTGTTATGGAGAAAAAAAAAAGTTTTGAAAATTAAAAATCACAGTTACATCACAAATCTTCAAGCACTCACAAAGACTAAACCCCAGTTATGCATGAAAGATTTTTCCAATGAGATCTGATGAAAAGATTATGTTTAAAAAAAAAATAAAGTCAATACCAGAATCTCATCTAAGAGGCTTAATTGTTTCAACTTATTCTTCATCTTCCTTCAAAATTTGTTTTAAAATGCATTTTTTTTGCTCCTTCCTCTTTGGATTTCAGTGATGTTAAGAAGTAAATTATGAAATAACAGACAAAAAGCAAATTGCTTCCAAGCACAGGGATTTGTTAAAATAGTAATTAGTAACAAAAAAATAAAGAACCAAGAAGATTTGTTTACTTGGGATCTGCTTGAATGTATGTTTTACAGTGCACAGTTCTTTGCTGTCCTGTAACACACGATCTACAGTATTTAGTGACTTCAAACAAAATAGAAGACTAATTAAAAGAATGTTTGACATCAACATAGTATTTAAACATAGTATTTAAACGATTTCTGTGGCAAAGGCTAAACACACAGGCTCCAGGTTATCTTTCTGAAGATTTACAGTGCATTTCAGTGGTTGGACACATATATATGTGTGACATTTTGCTTTGTTTTAAAGTTGCCAACCTTCTAATGACTACAGTGGGTGAAGAAAACAAGTAAATGGTGACTAAAAACAAATTACTATTTGCAGCAGCTTTTTTATCCGCTACTTCAAATACCAGACAGAGATTTTGATTTTTGTGGAAAGTCCTCAATAAAATAAGTTGTAGCAAGTGCCTAACCAGACTGTTACTGCTGTATGACCTACAAATCTAATACAGGTGTTTATTTAAACCTTTCAAGCCTCCCTCCTCATATTAGGACCATAAGAAAAATGCAGACTGCAACAAATTCATCAGCACTGTTTATGAATCCCAAGGGAGTAATAGATCTCCCGTGTTAGCACTGTGTGTATCCCACAGGAGTTTTGAAGTCCCTTGCACTGTTTGCACCAAGCCTTCTGCCAGAAACGGTGGTGCAAGCAGCAGAGCACCCGTGGGACTGGGAGAACCTCACACCATCCTCCTGCAGGGCTCGAACAGCTGCCAATCCCACATCTCGGGAGATGACTGAAGTCCTGGTCCAAACATCTAAACTGGGCAGAGTCTGACTGTGCTGGCAGCTGGAAAAAACAGCCATTCCCTCTGTTTGCTGGCTCTTCTTGAGCCATGATCTTCAAGGCATGATGAGTTCTGGCTATATTTTAGGAAAAAACATATTTTGGGAAAAAACCTTATCATACTGCAGTAAGTCTATCTTGGGCCACCGCAGTCCTGGTTTCACCACCAGATGCTCACTGCAGACAAAGGAAGAAACCTAACTGAAAGCTACTGAGGAGGACAACCCTAATCACAGCACAGAGCTCTGATAACAGCTGTGACACAACAAATAACCAAAAACGCAACACAGGCTCTGCTAAGCTGAATGTCTATCCAACATTCCCACACCCCCCCATTATGTTTATGGCAAATTTAGCTGAATTTTCAGCTACCTCATGAGCCACAGTCTGCTTTGTAGCTCTCCAGAAAGCCAGCATGCAGCAACCAAGCCAGACTGACAGCCCAGAAGAGCAAGGTCCTCTTGTCAACTTTGTCTGGCCTGTTCTGAAGGGACCTCTGTGAATATTGCAGAGTTCAGCTTCTGCTGTGGAAACCATTCATGGTTTCTCTGTAGAGCATCCTAGCAGAAATGACAAGACAGTTCCTGCTGGCTGAAAAGCAAATTCTGCCTGGGTGTCCACATGGGTAGCAATAGTAGGAAACAGAATAACACCTTTCCCTTCACCACACTATCCTGCAGTTTGTGTAAGTGCCAGGTACAGTTCCAGCTCATGGTTTCACAAATATGAAGGCAATGCTTTGCCTCTGTCCACTAAGCGCCTCAGCACCGATGAAGCCAAAACTCTTTCCCATTGCCCAGGACATAGGTAAAGTGGTTGTCCTTGAAGAAGTTAATGAAATGTCCTTCTGCCCACACAGCTTCTCCTTCCTATAAAAAAAATCTTTGTATGTATGAGTGGAATAAAGCAGGCCTACCCCACTCTCCAGCTTACTGCTCCTGAGGAAATCTATGATACGTGTGCTGACACAGGTCAAAATATAAATGCCTTTCCCTTGGAATATGAATGACATCTAAAAAATCTGCTCAAGGTTAAGTTTTGAAGAAAATTACATGAGAACACCATCAGATACTGCAGTGAGATTTGTACTAGTAGCCTTTGTGATAGAAAGTACGATTTGCAGGACCACCTTTCTGAAACATTATATCTTTAAGTAATTTCACTACCAGGAAGGGTTTTCGCTTCACCATAGCTAGACTATCAGGTGTGTTACACAGTCATCAGTCCCTCTCTATCCACAGGAAGAATAACGTATTTATCTGTTCAAATGTAATAACACAGCAAAGGAAAATTCTGCAAGCAGCCTACAGGGTTTACATTCTCCATTACAGTATCTATTACAGTTTCCAGATGTTAATTCAATGAAGATTTCTGCCATGATTTCCTCTTAAAGATAATAATTGCTGTTTCAAGAACCTCTCATTAAAATATTACTGGAATGGACCACAAGTAGTACTTACATTATGTGTATATACAGTCCATTTTGGGGGTTATAATAACATGAAGAGTATAATAATGTTAAACAATTAACTAAATGCAATAAAAAACAAATCTAATCTGACCTGAGTAAATCTGAAGTCTTTCTGATTCTTATTTTCCACCATTTACTACCTTCTTTCTTTTACGGTTTCAGAATTAAGAGTATTTCACCATTCAGAAAGTACATCTAAACCAGAGTTTCATTCTTGAGGCTTTCATGTACATGAACCTACCACCTTACAGAAGATAAATCAGATCCTGCCAAGTCAGTCTTTGTACAGAAAAGGTAGAAATGCCTCCAATTTTGAGAGAAGACAATAGCAAGCCACCAAGCA